GCAGAATTCTTCCTTAAAACCCGGCCTCTCCCAGGCAGAATGGCATTATCGACAGTGTGGAGGTGGAAAAGGAGCAAAAATAGAGACATTTCTTTTAAAATGGGGAGAAGGGTGTGTTTAAAAATAAAAGGGAAAAAAGGCCAAAAAAAATGTGAATTTAAGAATTTTTTAAAACTGAGGTCCTGATTTACTCCTCTGCTCCCCCAGACTTACACTGACTTAATCGTTGACACCAGTGGTCTGCTTAAAACCAGAGGAAAGTAGTGGTGTGAATTAGGCCCTTCCTGTAAAATTCATGTTGGCTCTTGTGTGTAGTATTGGATTGATCAGATGCCATAAAGGCAGAGTGGGGACCATGGGCGGCAGGTAGTGTAGGCCAGGGAAGGCACAGCCCTCCCAAAACTGCCTACACACCTTGGCTGCAGAGAAAGGCTGGGTCCATGGTTGTAACCGCATCCCTGGCCCTCCTGGTGGCCAAGAAGGATTGGGCTGGGGGTGGGCGGGGCTTGGCTCCAGAGGCGGGGCCTTGGGTGAAAGAGGAAGCTGGGACTTGTTTTCCCCAGCTGGGCCTTCACCTGCTGCCCATGGTGGGGACAGGCCTTCTGAACATGTACACTTCCTTCCGATGATCAAGGTTCCTTTCCCTCTGAAAATGTGTGTGTGTGTGTGTGGGGGGGGGGAGATTCCCCAGATCTGAAAGTCTTTGAACTTTGTCACAGCATTTTGAGACACGCTACTTAGGGCACAGACTCTGTGATTCTGCATTGCCTAGCACAGTTGGGTCCTGACCTTGACTGGGGTGTTTAAACTACTATCATACAAATTGTTGTTATTAATACAAATATTGATCTTTCCAACAGCCTGGCTAGATAGTGAGAGTGGAGGATGCTAATCGGTGGCCCAGTGGCCTCTCATAATCTAATAAAAAGGAGTAATGTCCCATCAAGCGTTAAAGGCCTCCACATTTCATGCCCAATCATCTGACCCAGAGTGTTGGGTAAATGATAAATACCTGGATGGTTAGATATGGCAGACTGCCTGGAGTTCTCCCGGCCTGTTGTTGTTATTCCAGTGCCCACAGAACAGCATGTAGCTGTATAAATATTAACACATCTTGTGCTTTGAAATCTTTGTGCCTGCTGGGAGCCTCTAGCCTCTTTAGTGTGCATTAGAGACGTGCGATTTGCCAAAGAGAACCTTTGGAATGCTTTGAACCTGGGATCCAGCCAATTACCAGGGCGCTCACGTTGAAAGGAAGTGTCAAAAGCAGGGAACTCCCATGGATCTGCGCACACACTGAAAACAACAATGGATGACTGAATACAGGGTGTGAGGAAGCGCAAGGAAGAGTGTGGTGATGTTCTGACAGCTGGCTGAGTGTTGCTACCAAGGTCTTTCTCCTCCACCCTTGTTTGCCCCAGTCAGAGCGGAGACAGGGAAGTGGGAAGTAAAGCTTGGAACTTGAAAGCAACTAGAGGCATTAATCTGCCACCGGATGTCTGCTTGCTTGCCCTTCTGTGACTCCTTATTTCCCCAGCCCTTTTGGTCATGTTGCTTTGCTTTCCCAGAACTTAGAGTGGACCCCCATGGTCCCTGCAAGCTGAGCATGTGGGCGGCCACTCGGGTGAATTCAAATGCTGCCCAGCTGATTAGCAGAGTGCCTACAGATTTGGCACCCTTACCCTGGGCTTGCACAAAGACATTAATGGATTGGCGCATTACAAAGCCAATTTCTCCCACCTTTAAAACAACTGCATTTCCACATCAAAAGCTCTGTATGGGATAAGTCCAGGCCACTTACTTAGCCTTATTAACATGGGTCCAACAATTGACAGGCACTCCTTCTGCTGTTATATATATTTCTTGGCTTCTGTTATTTCCACTCCAATTCATCTGATGAAGTGGGTTGTATCCACAAAAGTTCAAGATTGTATGTATTTTGGTTAGTCTCTAAGGCTATGTCTAGACTGCAGGCTTCTTTCGAAAGAGGCTCTTTCGAAAGAGCCTCTTTCGAAAGATCGCGTCTAGACTGCAGGCGGATCTTTCGAAAGAGAAATCCGCTTTTTCGAAAGAGCACCCAGCGAGTCTGGATGCTCTTTTTCGAAGACGGCCTCTTTACATTGAAGAACGCCTTCTTTCGAAAGAGGAACTTTCGAAAGAAGGCGTTCTTCCTCGTGAAATGAGGTTTACCGCCATCGAAAGAAAAGCCGCGTTCTTTCGAAATAATTTCGAAAGAACGCGGCTTGAGTCTGGACGCAGGGGAAGTTTTTTCGGGAAAAGGCTACTTTTCCCGAAAAAAACCCTGAGTGTGGACATGGCCTAAGGTGCCATAGGACTACTTGTTGTTTTTAAAGTTACAGACTCACATGGTTACCCTTCTGAGATTTTTTTTTTTTAAAGCTGGCAGTATATGTTGCTCCTGGTGGTGCACATCTACACATCTTGGTGCACATAACATTTATTCTGCACGTGGATGGAAAAAATTAGCAGGAACATGGGTGGACACCTGCATTTTGTCCTTGGCAGAACTGTAAATGCAACCTGGAGTTCTGAGGACAAGACCACTTCTTTCTTCAGCCATGCTGCAGGGGTGACGCCCGATCTCCTGGTGAGAGCCTGATGCACCCACCGTGCTCTCTTGAAGACCTTCCTGAGGAACATTACATGCCCAATTCAGGCAGAAAAGAAGCCAGAAGATCTCCAAAAACATGGAGGCAAAACACTCGGGATCCTGGCTCTGTTACGAGAGCTGACTGTTGAGTTATCACGGTGTAACTGAGTGCAGGATGTACCGCTATGGGATGAAATCTAGCCCGCCTCTAAACCAGTGGCAGGTGCTGATATTTCAGCAGGGCTGCTCCTATTACAAGAGTCTACCGTCCTGACCCGAAACTGGCCAGCTGCAATAGCATGAGCACAGGGCTTGGGGCTATCACTCTAAAATGCCAGGGTGCATTTCTGAAGGGTGACTTGTGCCCATGATGGAGCTGGCCATTAGCTTAATCATCAGGCTGTCATCCTGCCATAGCTCTCTAATCTGCGGCTGACACGGGTTACACAGGCAGTCTGTGCTGCGAGCTGGCTGCTGCCCTCCCCACCCAGCTCGTGTCACCACACGGGCAGGAATCCAGCTCTCGGCTCCAAAGCGATTCTTCTCCAGTTTCCATGGTTACACAAGAGTTTAACTTTCACCCCAGCTCCGCGGGCTAGAAGGCCTGCAGAGCCCTGGGTCTCCGTGTGGTGCAAAAGCACAGGCCCAGC